CGCACCCCTTCATGCCCTCGGATCCGGGCCGGGCCGGACCGCACGACCTCGACTTCCCCGCCTCGTCCGGGGGCCTCTCCGTCGGATGACCCTCGGGGGCTGGGCTCTGGCCAGTAGGCAGCTCCGCCGGGAGGCCAAGCCGGGTCCCGGGTATAAATAGCTTGGTCCGCGGCTAGCGGCGGGGGTGCACCGGCTATATTTGGTGGGGCTAACGCCCGGGCCAAGCCCCCTTACCGAAGGAGCGAGGAGCACGTGCGCTCTGGGACCAGCGGCGCCGAGCTGGTGGTACCCAAGGGCGGTCCTCTCCCTCATCTCCTCCCGGTTCTCACCGCTGTCCTAAACACTAATCCACACACGCCCTCGGGCGACGGCTTCCGGTCCAGACAGGGAGGCGGGGAGTCCCCTCCCCGGGATCAGACTGGACTCCCCGAGCTCGCGTTACTCCCATCCCATGCCCATAGCCCTGGGCAAACGAGTTGGGGGCCTCAGGGGCCTTGGTTTACTCACCTGAAAAGTGGGCCGGCAGCTCACCTAGCTGGGTGAGGTCGGCAGGCATGGCAGTGGAAGGGAGGCAGTCGGGGTCATGGCCACTTGTGGGGAGGGGGGTGCCTGGAGTCTGGGTGAGGGATGAACAGAGTGCTTCTCTGTCCAGACGCACTGAGCTGCACATCCAGAGGGGCCTGGGCTGCCCGGATAATTCTGCGATGACTGTGGCCAGGCTGAGTGGTCTGAGGGACAGCAGATGACAGCTGGACCCACTGCCTCAGGCAACCCAGGCCACAGGCGCTTCTCCAAAGCCAAGAGCAGGGGTGAGTGGCGGGTGGGTTTAGGAGCCTTTGCCTCATTCTGAAGGCCCAAGGGTCTCTAGGGGTCAGGTAGGTGCTAGGAGGACAGGGGCAGATGCTAGAGTGTCCTGGAGGGTGAACTGGGCCCCCGTGGGCCCAGCAGTTGAAGAGTTGCTCCCACGGTGGGAGGTCTGCCCCTAAGAGGCCCTGAGGGCATGCGTGGCAGTGCCCAGGAGGGTGTGGAGCCTTCCTGCCCAGCAGTCTGTGGTGAAGGCAGAGCCTGGGGTGGACACTGAGGCCTGGTCCTAAGGCAGGCTCTGAAACAACCCCGTGTGACCTTGGGCAGGGCCTAAACCCAGGAGGCAACCTGGCTGTCACCCATTCCAGCTGGATACCTCAGTTTGGAAGGCAGCTTCGGGGCGGGGTGGGAGGAGATTCATGCTCTCCAGGACACTGGCCAGGGAGTGTGTGTGGAGGGCGGCCTGTGGGGTCCCACACACTGGCTGGTGATGTCCCTCTGACAAGGCTGACTTGCTCCAAGGCAGTCCTCACGTTGACCTGGTGGGCTTGAAGGGGCCCGGTGCCGCCCCTTAGAGGTGAGGAGCCTCATAGAGTGACCTGGGGGGCCCTGGCTGGCCCTTCTAGAAGTGGCCAGTGGAGAAGAGGGCTGTGTCTAGCCATCAAGTCCTAGCAGGGGCCTCCTGATCTGGCCTCCATGCGCCCAGTACTGGGCCCGGAGGTAAGGGCGCGGCGGGATCAGACAGGGCCTGGGGCTCCCCGGGGCTTTGCGTTGGCCAGTGCAGACCTTCCGACATCAGTCTCCATCTATGAAATGGGCCAGGCAGGGAAGCGGGTCCCCGAGACCTAGAGTTCTCAGTCAGTGTTTGGAGCCCCGCCCACCTGGCCCGGCCCCAACGGAGGAAAAATGAAGCGGGTCCGGTCATGGGGGAGCCGCGGGGCCCCCTTCGGCAAGCGGGGATGCCCAGCGCGGCTCCGGATCTTGCTGACCCCGGCGGCCCCGAGCGTGGAATGTGCGCTCCGGTCAATACGGTAGCCGACGAGGAAGGCGCCTACTCCAGGCAATACGGCGGCGGCTCCTCCCTTGGCGCGGTCACGTCCCCCACGTCCCGCGCACGGCAGGCAGAGGAGCAGGGCCGGGGCGGGGCCCGCAGAGCATCCTCCCTTCCCCTCCGCCGGGCGGGGTCGGCCCGACCCCCACCTGCCCATCCGGAAGCTGGAGCGGGAAGGAGCGGCCTTCCTATTCTCTCCAGCGAGGAGGGGGGGGGTAGAGGGTGGAGCCCAAGGTCCCTCCACGTTCCACGTTCCCTACCCGGCCTTCCTGCCTCCCCAGCCACCTCCGCCCACTGGCCCTTGAGGCCCCGTTGGTGGTGTCGGGAGCTGGGGGCCCGGATTTGGCGGGGCTGGCGGGGCTTGCTGACACAGAGACCACCTCTGGGCCTTGGTCTTAGGTCACAGGCTTTGGGGGTGGGGGCTGCAGGGAGTTGAGGAATGGGACAAGGTGGCTACGTGGATGAGCAGCCTCCAGGCCTGGAGGAGGTGGCTTGGGCCCCCTCCTGCCCCTCCTCACTGCTCTCTGAACTTTCTATAGGAGGAGCTGAGACTTGGTTAGCACAGAGACGCCCCAGAGCCATCCTCCAGTGACCTCCTCTTGGTCATAACGTGGTGACGGTGGTGCAGAGCGAATGCCTCAGAGCGAGGACTCAGAGCGAGGGGCAGGCCTGGGGCGCAGTGTCCACTTTGGTGAATGAGGCCACTGTTTCCACCCCACCAGCCCCTGCAGGAAGACGCAGCCCACCTGAGAGCTCCCAGGGGCACTGCGCATGCACTAGAGAGCTGCGTGGTCAGTGGAGGTGGGGTGGAGGGCTCAGGCCGGACTTAGCAGGCCTGATCAGGCTTGGGGCAGACCCTCACCCACTGCACCCCTCCCACCTCCCCAGAAAAAGCCCCAGGCACCTCCCTCCAGTCACAGCTCCAAACACAGGTCTGGGCAGGGCTGAGGTGAGCATCTGGAGTCCTTTCCCCTCCTTTGAAGGGGACAGGCACTCTGACCAGAGGTGCCTTCTGAGATCTGCTGGCTACCTGCTTGCACAACGGGGTAGTGGGGGAAGGAAGAAGGGGAGCCCTCCTCCCTCCTGTGGGTGCAGCACCCCCTTGCCCGTCAGCCACCCCCATGGGCTTCAGGGGCCTTAGGCCCTGAGGAGCCAGGTGCTAGCCACCCTGGGCTGTTTCCCTAGTGCTCAGGTGTGTCTCCTGGGCCTCCTGGTGCGAGGAGAATAGGAAGGACTGTGACTGCCCCTTTCCTGCCCCACCCACCCAGGAGCTGGTCTCCGAGGACTAGAAGCCTAGTGAGGTAACTGGCCAGCCCCCCCAGAAGGCACACCGACTATGCCCTGGGGACAGGCCGCCGGGACTAGGGCTGGGGGCCCCCACACTAGACTCCACGCGTTCATGGCCTGCTCTGGGGACTGCCAGGCCACAGACCCTGGACCCAGGGTGGGTGAGGGGACTGCTAGTACAGAGGCCTAACAGGGTGCATGCCAGGGTGCGCCAGGGCAGCAGTGGGCCTGTGGCTGCATCAGAGTGGCTGGTGGGGGGACTTACTGGGAGGTGGTGAGGCCAACAGGACGCAGAGGTCATGGCTCTGAGGTGGGGGTGGGAGAGGTCAGGTTGGGAGCATGGTATGAGGTTTGCACTAGCCCTCTGGGTGGAGATGGGGGGTGGGGGTGAGGCCGGACACAGTGGGCACCAAGATGGCATTTGAAACCGCGTGAGTGCAGGCAGAGAAGGGGGCACTGGGGAGACGGGTGATGTAGGAGAAGCTGGAGCCTGACCCCAGCTTGGGTGCTCACCCTGGTGGGCCTGAGGGAGCAGCTGGTAGGAGACCCTGATTTGGGAGGGACCCGGTGCACGCTCTGCCTCAGGCCTTCCTCTGCTCGGCTTTCGGCTGCCAGGACCGGGGTGGGGGGGGCAGCCCCTGGAGCCTTACCTGACCCAGAAGCGGGCACGCGCACCCCACCTTCAAGATCAGCTTTCTGAGGCCCAGAGGGCGGGTTATTTCTGGGCTGGGGACGTGGTTTGCGTGCTTCCCTGGGAGAGTAAATGTCACTGAAAGGACAGCCGGCCGGCATGTGCCCACAGATGTGCTGGTGCCACCTCCCTCTGCATCGCACCGAGTCCCCGACCAGCCCGCGGGAGGCTGCTCCTCCGGCCCTGGGTTTTCCTGCAGCCATCTGACTGTCGGGCAGCCTGTGCCTGAGCCGGCCTCCTCTGCAGTGCGGACTGGGCTGAGGAGGCCACTTTGCTCTTGTGAATCCCAGTCCCTTCCCAACTCCCCCTGCTGGGCAGAATCCTTTTGCCCCAAACCCAGGCCCGCGCCCGCCTGCCCTGCACTCCACCCTCCATCCTCTCTTCCTTGCTTGCCCAACCCCTCCCTCTACTGGCTGAGAAACCTCACTCTGAGGACCGGCTGGTGCCAGGAACCAGGATGGGCGCCATTTCAGTGTGCCTGGCACCCGGGCTGGGGAATTAGCTGGCAGACAGCAGTGTGTGAAGAGCCTCTGGGGCCTTCAGGAGCTGGCGGGAGGGATGACCCCGCTGGGCCTCGGTTCAGGCACAGAAGGTGGCCCCCTCCCTGCAGGAGCCTCACGTGGCAGCTCCTGGGCCCACACAGGACCGCGGACACGCTGGACCCGCCTGATCTCTGGGCCTGGGCGCCCTCCCAGGCGCTAGTTCTCCCGAGGGGCCTGGCGGGCAGAGAACGGGCCTCAAAGGCTGGGGCACCAGGCACGGCTGCTGCAGCCAGGGAGGTCCCTGGGCGTGCCTCAGGCCTCATCTGTTCTCGGGGTGTCGGAGTTGGGCTGCAGCTGCCTGGCCCACACACTCCCCCCGTGGCGTCCGCGTGGCCGCTTGACTCACCTTAAGTGGTGCTGCTGCGTCACAGTGTGTTCCTGTTCCCAAGTTATACTTACTTTTTTTTAAGTCACCCTGCTGCGCCTGCCTCGGTGCCCCCACCCGGTGAGTCTGGCTGCGGCTGACACTTGCCCACGTGTCCTGTCCCGGGCTCGGGCATGTGGCTGCGCAGTCAGAGGCTGGGCCCTGGAGGAGCGCCTGGGGTGGGCCACGCTGAAGCTGGGCTCAGACTGTCCGGGTGCAGAGGAACCCTGTCCTCACTGCAGACTCCTGCTCCAGGTTCTGTGCACCTCCGGGGCAGAAGTGGCCGCCCAGGGGCTGTGCCAGGTCCCGCGTCTGCCCGCACAGCTGCAGGCACTGGGCTCCCTTGGCTGGGGCATCCCTGTGCACCTTCCAGCCGTGTTTCCAGACAGCTGCCCAGCCCTTGGCCCCAGACTCACCCTCCATTCTGCTCACTGAAGTCCAGGAGCCGTCCGAGCACCGGGGCAAGGTGCTTGGAAAGCACTGGGGTCTGGGTGCCGGGAGAAGCAACGGCTTCTCTTGGTTTTCCCGAGAGTGGCCCTGCGGCCCTGGTCCAGCTGGGAACCAGTGCAGGCTCTGAAGGTGGACCTCTGGCCCAACCTGGGGGGGTGGGCAGGGCCGCGGTTCTGCTCCGGGGGGCTGGGTCTGCCGTGCCAGCACCCTGATAGCCAGCTGGCTCCTGGGGGTCCGGCCACCAAATGGTGTCACAGACAGCAGCCGCTGCTCAGAGCCCCCTAGGAAGCCCTTAAAAACACCCTCCCCAACACGCCTGCCAAGTCAGAGCCCGGATCCCCAGAGGCCACTGAATCAGGACCCCAGAGAGCGTAGCACCTGTGGCCGGGATGCTGGGGGGCAGGCTGGAGGCGGGGGTTGATGTGGTGTGTTACTCTCCGCATTCTTTTGCCCTCCACGCTGGGAAGCTCTGCTCAGACTAGCCAGGCACAGAGGCCTTTGTCCTCGCTGCAGACTCCTGTCCCAGGTTCTGTGTGTGCCTCTGATGCAGAAGTGGCCACCCAGGGGGCTGTGCCAGGTTAAGACGGATCCGAGGAAAAGGGGTGGGGGTGGAGCCAGGACTGATTATGAAACCCGGGTGGGCGGGCTGGTAGGAAGGGGGCTGTCGGCGCCACTCGCCCCAGCGCTCCTGCTCAGAGTTCTCTGGTGTCCGTGCAGGTAGACACTCACACCGCATTTCAGAGAGCTCGTTTCTAGGCCACTGCCAGCAGTGGGAAAAGACAGAGCTTCAGTGGGCCGCGAGCCGCTGGGTCCAAGAAGGCGCGGGCCTCGGGGCAGCTCTCCCCTCCCAGCGCCTGCAGCGAGGAGTCTCTCCTCCGGACAGCTTCTGTCAGGTGAGGTGGGGGACCAGGCCACCAGGCTGATCTCTGACATTGGGGATTTCTAGAGCTAGGATCAGGGAGGGTTGAGTGGTCTCTAGATGGAAACCTGGCCATAGCATTTCAAGTTACTGTGCCTCAAATGAGCTGAGTTCCTGGGGTTTAAGAGGGAAGTCGGCCCTGGGCCTCGGCGATGGGGTGGGGGCCATGGGCTGGCAGTGGGTGTGGCCAGCTCCCTCTTCCTCTCTGCAGCCTGGGGGCTGGAGTGCTTCGCTCCAGTGGCTGGCTTTCTTGTCAGGGGAGTTAAACTCCTGCAGGTGTCTTCTACCTGGGCTGGCCCTGCAGGTCCCTGAACTGCACGGAGGGGAGGCTGGGCCTCTCCCAGAGGAGCTGGGTGGGTAACAACGGTGGGGACAGTCAGGGCCTGCACGCTGGGCAGGGGCCCCCATCCCCGCTCCCCACCTGCTCCTCCCCGCTGGCAGCCCCCACTCCATCCCCACAGGCATAGCCTGCGTAAGCCTCTTCAGATGCTCACTGTTCTGCCGTGTGATCAGTGGACAGGATGGGAAGCCCTGCCCTCCCTGGGGTGGAGGAGCAAGGCTGGCCACCATCTAGATAGAGGACTCTGGGGACACCAGCCTAGATCGGCCCCAGGTCCCCACCAGGGCAGCTTCACTGCCTGAGGAGCTGCGAGGTGCTGGCCGTGGTGGGACACCGGGTCAGGCGGGAGGCGGGAGCAAGCTGGCTCCTCTGCTGGGGTCTGCCCTCCTCAGGAGGTAACCTGAGCCCTGGCTGAGCCCAAAAAAGCCACTGCCCTTTAGAGCCAGCTGCATGGGAGCAGGCCAGGCCTGAGCAGAGGAGGGAGGAGGGGCCGCAGTTGCTGGTCACCCCAGACCCTCCTGCCCTGTGCCCAGTGCCCAGCACAGGTGAGGCCCAGAGGCAGGGGCAGCTGGCCTGGCCCAGGGCTGAGCTCCTGCTGGGGGCGGAGGCCTGAAGGGAGGGGTGGCCGGCCTTCAGGTGCGCCTCTGTCCCTGCAATGCTGGGCTGGATGGTCCTGACAGCCTGGCTTCCACTTTCTCAGGGACGCGGAACCTGCCCTCCTGGCCATGGGAGGGGCCGTGGTCGACGAGGGCCCAACAGGCATCAAGGCCCCCGATGGGGGCTGGGGCTGGGCCGTCCTCTGGGGCTGTTTCGTCATCACGGGCTTCTCCTACGCCTTCCCCAAGGCGGTCAGTGTCTTCTTCAAGGAACTCATGCGTGAGTTTGGGATCGGCTACAGCGACTCGGCCTGGATCTCCTCCATCTTGCTGGCCATGTTGTACGGGACAGGTGAGGGCTGCGGCGGCCAGGCGGTCACCTCTGGGGGTCCCCTCAGTTCAGTTCAGAGAGCCTCCCTTGGGCAAAGAGGCCCTGTGGTCGGGGGTTGGCCGGTACATCCCAGGTTTCCATGGGTGCCTGGAGAGAAGCCACTGAGAGTGCTGTGGTCCCCACTGGGCAGACTGAGCACATGCCGAGGCTGTGTGCGGCCCTGTCCAACGGGCTGTGTCCGTCCAGCTGTACTCGGTCCTAGAGGACGGGGGCTCCAGGTCCTGTGCTCTGCAGGTTCTTGCTGTCTGCACAGACTAAGCAGACGCCTCTAGCAAGGAGCTCTCCTTATGAACCGTGCTTTGCTCGGGAGATGTGCGAGTGTGGTTCCCGCTCTGGGCGCCCGGTGCTCCTGGCGTGTCTGCTGAGCTGGGGGCGGGGGCGCCGGGGAGAACCTCGGCCTGCTCCTCAGCCGCTGCCATCCCCCAGGCCCACTGTGCAGCGTGTGTGTGAATCGCTTTGGCTGCCGGCCTGTCATGCTCGCAGGCGGCCTCTTGGCATCCCTGGGCATGGTGGCCGCGTCTTTCTGCGGAAGCATCATCCAGCTCTACCTCACCACCGGCGTCATCACAGGTGAGTGGGACCGGCAGGAGCAGGGTGGGCCGTGGCGCCTCTGCTGCTCAGTGGTGGCCGGGTGGCGACGATGGCTCGGAAGGACGGGGGCCAGGGGTGGGGGGGGGCAGCCACGGGGTGTCCGCACCGGTGCCAGCCAGTCCTCTGTCCCCGTCTCTCTCCCCAGGGCGGGGCGGGTCAGGCCGGGCCTGTGCTGGGAAGAGCGGGGGGCGGGAGGGAAAGGGCACATGCTCACTGCCCACCGCCCACCGCCCCCCAGGCTTGGGTCTGGCGCTCAACTTCCAGCCGTCGCTCATCATGCTCAACCGCTACTTCAGCCGGCGGCGCCCCATGGCCAACGGGCTGGCGGCGGCGGGCAGCCCCGTGTTCCTGTGCGCCCTGTCCCCGCTGGGGCAGCTGCTGCAGGATCACTACGGCTGGCGGGGCGGCTTCCTCATCCTGGGCGGCCTACTGCTCAACTGCTGCGTGTGCGCTGCACTCATGCGGCCTCTGGAGGCGCCCCGGCCAGCCGCGGGGCCTGCACCCCCGCGGGCCCCACGGCGGCTGTTGGACCTGAGTGTCTTCAGGGACCGAGGCTTCGTCGTCTACGCGCTCGCTGCCTCCATCATGGTGCTGGGGCTCTTCGTGCCACCAGTGTTCGTAGTGAGCTACGCCAAGGACCTGGGCGTGCCCGACACCCAGGCGGCCTTCCTGCTCACCGTGCTGGGCTTCATCGACATCTTTGCCCGGCCCACCGCCGGCTTCATCGCAGGGCTCAAGAAGGTGCGGCCCTACTCCGTCTACCTCTTCAGCTTTGCCATGTTCTTCAACGGCTTCACCGACCTCACGGGCTCCACGGCGAGAGACTACGGCGGCCTGGTGGTCTTCTGCATCTTCTTCGGCATCTCCTACGGCATGGTGGGGGCCCTGCAGTTCGAGGTGCTCATGGCCATCGTGGGCACCCAGAAATTCTCCAGCGCCATCGGCCTCGTGCTGCTGCTGGAGGCCATAGCTGTGCTCATCGGGCCCCCGTCGGGAGGTAAGTGCTGGCGGCAGGGTGGGGAGCCAGCTGCCTCCCCTTCCCAGGGCTAGGCTGGGCCCTTGGGGCAGTTCTCTTCCTGGGGAGGGGAGGTGCCATGGGAGGGCCCTTAGCTGGAGGGACCCCCGGACTCCTGCCTGGTCTGGCCACCTCGTAGCTCTGCACACCGCCAGCAGGGGTCAGGAGGGAACACGGCCTCGCCTACATCCCAGGACCTGCTTGGTCCACCGTGGGAGGGGGTGCCTGGGCCCAAGGCAGGTGCAGGCCTGAGTCGTGGGGACAGGTAATGGCTCCAGGGTGGAGTCCTGGCCCTCTGTTCTGGCTGTCCCCACACACCGGGGATGTTCAGAGCCGAGGCCTGGGCCAGTTTTTGCTACGGTGGGCTTTTATTTTTTTGATGGCTGATTAAATACTGTTGTGGGATTAAAATGGCATGGACTGTGGGAGCAGCATGGCCACAGCCCCACCAGGCTTGGTCACTGGGTTTGGGTCTCTCTAGCCAGCCCTGTCAGACCCCTACCTTCTACCTAACCCTGGACCTCTGGCTCCTCTCTCCTGGAGGGGTCTGGGGCAAGGGTGGGGAGACACCTGAATCGTCACTGTCCTGGGGTCCTCCTGTGGGGGCCACTGGTGGGGAGGCTGCCATGGTGATGGGCAGCAGGGCCTCGCATGAAGCTCCACCCAAACCCTGGTCAGAGCCACTCTGGTTCAGCCTCTGGGTATGTGCTGCCTGGGGAACGGGGTTGGCGGTGGGGGCAGCCGCCTGAGGGCCCAGCCTGCTCTGGTGGCGCACTGTGGGTGGGGGGTTGGTGGGAGGCTGCAGCCCGGGCTGACCCCGCCCCCTTTGCAGGCAAGCTCCTGGACGCGACGCACGTCTACCAGTACGTGTTTGTGCTGGCGGGGGCCGAGGTGCTGACCTCCTCCCTCGTGCTGGTGCTGGGCAACTTCTTCTGCATTGGGAAGAGGCCCGAGGTGGCCGCGGAGGAGGAGCGCCACAAGCCCCCCGAGGACGTGAGGGTGGACTCTCGGGAGGTGGAGCACTTCCTGAAGACGGAGCCTGAGAAGAACGGGGAGGTGGTTCACACCCCGGAGACGAGCGTCTGAGCCGGAGGCCGGCAGGGGTTCAGGGAATCGGACAGAGACCGTCAACGCTCGTATTTATTTCACAAACAGGACTAGCTGGGGTGGGGCCGTCGGCTCGGCGCCGGCTGCCCGGGCAGCGGATCATCGCCGGATCAGTGTTTTTCGGGGGAGGTGGTGGGGTGGGAACGTGTCATTCCGAGGCGGATCTGTGGTGAAGCCAAGCCGCGAGGTTACAAGCCATCTGCCCCGGGGCCCCGCCTGCTGACCCCAGAGGCGCCCGATGCCCACCACTGGGCTCAAGGACCTAGAAACCCGCGCTTCAGAGACAACACGGCTTTAATCAGAGGGCAGGGCCGCTGCAGAGTGGGTGCTCCCCTGACGGGCCCTGCCTGTGTTCCTGTGGCCCCTTCCTGCCCGGGCCTCCACTGTGTGCCCCAGCCCAGCCCTCTCCGAGTGCCTAGAGGACAAAGCTCCCTCCTTCACGCCTGGAAGCCAGAAAAGCCTGCGTGTGGGAGGAGCTGCCCCGAGAGGAATGTCTTCCAGGAGCTGCAGTTCTGGAGGGGCAGCGAGCGGTCTGGCCACCCACCCCAAGTCCCACTTTCTCAGCAAACAAGCCTGGCTATTTTCACAGAGTGGTTCTGGTCCTTGTCAACCGTGCAGCTTTGTAAGCCCGACTGGTCCTGGCCCCGGCCCCGGCCCTGCGGTGCCCGGTCAGCTCAGAGTGGTCACATGGGGCCCTGGCGGCTGGCAGGGAGGCCACACTGCAGGGGTGTGTGCACTTCAGCTGGGACGTAGGTGTGATTTCTGCTCCCTGGCGTGTGTCTGAAGAAAACATCTTCCTGCCTTCCACGTATCTGTCCCTCAGTTAGCTGACGGTCGCCCACGCGGTCAGTGCCCGGGGCCGCCGTCTGCCCCATCCTCCCCGCCCAGGGTACCCACACCCACCTGCCCTCTGGCCAGTGGCGGCCTGCGTGGCTGGGGGCCCGGTCGGGGCCGCTGGAGCGGCCTCAGTAGGTGGTGCGTCGAGGGCGCTGGGGACGGCAGCGGGCGCCCTGGCGGGCCGCGTGCAGCCGGAGAGACGCCACGTCCCTGCTCCTCTGC